TTTGGAGGTATGAATAATCTGCCCTAAGTATGAAAAGTTCCGGCCCCTATTACGAAAATCGAGTTGCCCGTATTACGAAAAATTCCGAGCCGAGGGTTCGAATGTTCTCTAAAAACACTGTATAGTGGCTATGTTTTACAAAGAGCCTTGGCACTAACGCAAAAAATGACACAATCGTATTAACTCCATGTGCCTCGGCCCCCTTCACTACAACGCGTGTTATTACATATCCAGAAGTCGGCTAAAGCCCCGAAGCCGAGACATCCGATTCAAAGCCTATTAAATGCCTAGAAATATATTGCTATATAGTTCATCAGTTATTATTCAACAACGAACAAAAATAGTCTAGAGTGCACGGTAGATAGCTGCGAGCTAAATTAAGTAGTAGAAGAAAGATGGAAACAAACGAAGTGAAGAAAATGACAGTTAGGTGCGAAGAACGGGTATTAGGCAAGCTTGCGCTTGATGTTGACGGTTCCGTCTTTGATGAATTTGAGGAAACGGTTGCCGTATTCTTGGGCCGGCACAGCCGAAATGGTACTTCTGGCATGGCCAAGAGATCTGACAAAGGTTTCTAGCCTTTTCTTCATACCGTAGTTGGTTAAGCAGTCAATGATACCCAAATAGTATATCTCCGATAGTGGCTCGTTGTCCTCATTCGTGGCCCGAATTCCACCATCGTGACCGTAAAATACATACTTCGACCTGCCTGGAAACACGTTAGTTGGCAAATCGTTTTCCCTGTCGATATCTCTTGGATTAGTTTTGATCAAGTCAGATTTATCCGACGACTTGGGGTCAAAAACAGACAACTTTTGCGTCAAATCGCTGGTGTTTCCTTGTTTAACATCGTGGATCCCCAACAATAACGAGTAGTCCATGACGTTTATCTTTTTCAATAATTTCACATCTGCTTCTAACTGCTTGAAAAACACTTTTCTTTTATCTGGACCAAATTTGATAGGGTTTTTGCCCTCGAGCCAATTCATATCCTTCAAGGTGACTTGCGACAAGTCTTTTGATTCTTCTGGTGACAACCTGGTGATTCTACCCCAGGTAGAACCTTTTAAATCGTATTTGACGTGAATGTCACGATGGGGCGGGAACAAGTTGTTCATCACAACAAAATGTACTTTCTTCACCCCGAACCTGGTTGGCATCTTCACTCTATGCAATCCATAAAATTGTGAAACCAATGTGTTTGGATTTTCTTTGACATGATTGTAGTAATCCTTCAAGATCCTTCTAAGCTGTTTATGCTCTGCATGATGGATAGTTTTGATGATGAATCTGAAATCTCTCGAATAGTAGAAAAATGACCCACTTTTACCAGGAGACCCAAGCTCCGAGAGGATGTATTTCCCAGTAATGGAAACCAAATAATCTGCTGGGTCTAAACCAAAACAAGATCTTAATTCTCTAAACACTTCCGGGCAGTAGTCTTTGAACTTGAAATCGTATTTGGAAGAGGGTGTTAATTCACTTCCGTCCATTTTAAACGACAATTTTTTGGTCTTTGAAAAGTCTTCATCTTTGAGCTTCATCATCACACCTGAACATCTAGAGACCGCTACTCTGATACCTGTCAACATGTTGTAAGCCATGACGAAGTTTTCATGGCCCTCGCTGATCTTGTTCCCAACGAGCACTCTTTCATCTTCCAAAAGCTCTCTTCTTTTCTTCTTCAAGCTTCTTTTCATCAAGATCGAGTTCCGCATGCGCAAGATCTCTGAGCTGGTAGTGTCAGGCTTCATACCAAACGAGTCACTAGCACCTCTATATGCTGGAAATGTGCTCCTTGCCATGGGAGGATTGGGGCGAGATGACTGGAACGAGTGGCGGGCCGGCTGGAGGTCGGCAGTGTCATGGATTTGAGCAAAGTAGTTGCCGCTGTCCAAGGGATGAGGAGCCGTGTGTCTACGTGCCGAGTTGGTGGACACCAATGCATTGTCTGAGGAAGCCAGGAACCTAGGCACGGAGTGAAGTTTTGGGGTAGTGGTAGCGGAGGTGGTTGGGACATGCAAGGGATCATCCTGGTGGTGGGGGCTGATGGTGGACGAAACTCGGTAGGAGGTGTCGTCACAGATTTCTGTAGCTGGAGCCGTGGACGACGACACCTCGTTCTGGACGGCGTCCTCGATGGACGAGGGCGAGGTGTCGTTGGTGACGTAGGATGCATCGGAGCGGGACACCTTGAACGAGGTCGGTGTCGAGGGGGCATTGTGAGGGTGGTTGGAAGGGTCACTGGACTGGTTTTCATGGTGATCCTGGAACGGCGGGAGGCTGGACTTGCTAGGGCCCTTGATGAGCGACGTGGTGCTGGAGGACATGAGGGTATGAAGATTGGTGGCTGTGGAGCCCCCACTGGTTTTGGAGTCCTTGTAGGCCAAGATGTCTGGATGTGTCGTAGTTTCCACCTGGATCATTGTGGGGCTATTGACATGGGCGACGACGACGGGGACCACAGTGGCAGAACAACGGATGAAGAGGACGCAGATGGACCACTCTGGTGACGGTTGTCGGGATGTTTTCTGGCTCGGCTAGGAGGTGTGGGAGTCTATTGTTTCGCGCAGCCAATCAGAACACAAGTGGGAGTGGAGGAGGACGGCTGGGGCGACGAGGACTAAGAAGACGAGTGCCGGTGGTGGTGGGATGGGGTTGGATGTAGTTTGGTGATTGCTTGGGGTGGGCTTGTAAACATGAATTTTTCTCCTTGCGGAGGGGTGTGTGCGGGCTGATGGCACCACGCGGGAGTCTAGGCTACGGGGCGTAGTGGTGGCCGCGGGCGTAGCGAGCAGGGCGGCAGCAGGCGCGGCACGGCGGGAGCAGGCGGTGTCGCGGCGACGTCATCGAGATGGTGCGAGACGGTGCAACGTCGGTCTCCTCGTCAACCGGCCCTTCTAGAAGGTGGAGATCTGGTAGACAATAGGAAGACGCTGGTGGACCTAATAGCCGAATGTAGGGGGGGTTGACAGGTGGTACCACCTTCCACTGGTGCTACAACTGCACTACCATTACTGGTGCTCCCAGCTGTGGTACCACTGAATGTTCCTGCCACGAGCTGCACTGCGACTACCGGTGCTGGAACTCGACTGCGCTACCACCACTATCCCTGGCCTACCTACCATATCACCTTCCAACCAATCGATACTAATCACTCCCACAGTACCGCTACCTTGGTAGCCACTACTTACTGGTGTATCCTACTAATCCCTCGCCCTACGCGTCCTGGACCCTCCGTGCCACAATTTGCCGCCACTTCGCGAGCCGTTCCGAAGACTCGGATCGAAATTTTTCACCCATTACTTGTTATCTCTCCACGGGAATCTCCTTTCTTCTTTACACAACATGGGCTTACTCAACTGGATCGCCGGCGGCCCAGACGTGCACAAGAAGATGGCCGACACCGGCTTCGACTCCGCTACCTGCGACTTCGACTGTGGTTCGTGCCACTCGGAGTTTCCCAAGTCGCTCAAGATCGAGCAAGGAACGATTTTTGGCTCCACCAAGGACTATGGCGTCCATTTGATGGTTGCTACCGGCAAGACCGACTGGCCACACGATGCCACGGGAGTTTCACACACCCTTGCCCACGCAGTGGCCCTGTGGGCTGGCCACAACAGCTCATCGGAGTTGGGCCCCATCAAAACCACGGTGTCGTCATTGTGCACAGACGAGTTGTTCACCAACCCGGAGTACATCAGCGAGGCTCGTGGTGACGTGTTGGTGTTGCCATTCTTTGTGTGGATCCGCAACCTAGCCATCTCCGACGTGAAGACGGTAATGAGCACAGTGGTGCAAGACCTCGCCTCCGCCCGCAAGGATCGTCTCAAGGCTCCTCAGCTCTCGTACCCCCAGTTCCCAGACATCAGGCTCGAGCTCGACACCAACAGAGCCCATATCATCCTCTGCTCCCATCGGACCCGTGACAAGCGATGCGGCATCACTGCCCCAATCATGAAGAAGGAGATGGAAATTTATCTCCGCGAGCAGGGCTTGCTCCGCGACCACGGCGACCCCACGCCTGGCGGTGTCAAAGTCAGCTTCACCAACCATATTGGCCAGCACAAGTTCGCAGCCAACGTCATCATATACTTGCGGAACTCAGGAAAGAACATCTGGTTGGCCCGTTGTACGCCCAATAACGTTCGACCCATTATAGACGAGTGTGTTTTGAACGACGGGAAGGTCTGGCCAGACCATGTCCGACTTCTCCAGCAATTCGAACCAATAGACTGGTAGTATGCGCGCTACCATACACACCCGCTAAAGTCAAATCTCAGCTAGATCAATTCCCAGCTAGATCCAAATGATACCACTAGATCCAAATCCCAGCTAACTCTGTTGGATCAGATATACTGTTGCCCAATAATGCCAGATAGAATATGTATTCCTAATGTAATATGAGGTCTGTCCATGACAGACCACCAAGTTTGAAACACATTGCAGTATTTATAGTATAGAAACCATGAGCCGCAAAGACCTGTTACAAGGCAATGACTCGATATCCATGGTAATTATAAATAATAGAAAACTGGAATTGGGACAATAAGGAATAACTCCTTAATTTTCCCATATCACACTGCAATATGGGAAAAAGGAGAATAATATGACTGACCAGATTTATTGAGCGAGCTATAGTGCTTTCCACGGATGCAAATCTGTAAGGCATTCCATATTTAACTAAGTGATACTACGTATCTAGGCAATATAATTTGCAATGCCATTTCTTTAGTGGTCATACAATTAAAGAACACTTCAGTAACACCTTGAGAGAAATGGGTGTTGGTATTCTTTAGTTTTTGCAATCTATTGTTTTCCATTCATCAATGCCAAAGGGGGTCTTTCTTGAGTAACTTTCAAAGAGAAGAATAATATTTGTCGTAGCTTATTCTATTTGTTTGGTACTCCACATAACTGTCTTTATAATGCTTGCAAACATCGTTCTCTTTCATTTATAAGATTGTAATATTCATTATGCAATAATATTCAACCAATTGTGATCTGCTCCGCTTCGCAAGCTGTTCTGATTTAGTAACATGTTTGGCTTTCTCTTTATCATTATTTGTGAATTGTGGTATAATTATAATACACTAGCCGTTTTTTACAATTTGTAATATGGGCAGTTTCTAGGAAATTTCTCTCTAACAAAAGTTCTCTATTTACTTAACTTTATTTCAAACTGAAGCATGGCAGTCCTCTTCTACAATTTCACGGAACAACTCATTCACATTTAATTTATACAAGATTTTTCAGCCTTAACCCTCACAAGAACACTTTGAGAATATTGGATCTCTTCTCCATGGAATCAATGGTTGTTGATTGCAATTTGTCAATATCATTGGCCAAAATCTTACTTAATCTGTCTAATTCCTTTTGGAAAAAGTGGTCTTCCCCGTTGATCACCTTGTTGATCAACTTCTTGTAGTAATTGATCAGTGACGAATCTGAGACGCTTTCGAATTTTTGAAGCTGGGCCAAAAGCTCTACCCCTACGATGGTCTTGTCGACACCATTTGCAAGTAGCTTTTCCTTAATGAGCAAGTCAAGGTCATCGACTCTTCCTGCGGTCTTTAAAAGCCTTCCTTCGACGGTTCTATGCAAACCAGTATACTTGTTGATTTGCTCGATCAATGCTCCCAAATTTCTATCACCTTCGAACCACAATGGCTTTTCCCCGGCTGGATCAAAGAAAAGAATACTAGGCAATGCATTGATTCCATATCTGTCTGCGATCTTTTCGGCGGGTTCTGTATCAAGCTCTACCTTTCCAAACCGAACAACGTCTCTATCGTTGAAATAAATAGTATCGGCCAATTCTGCCAACGTGGGCTTCAAATTTTCACAGTTAGGACACCACGTAGCAGAGAACACCACCACAGTCTTATGATTTGCTTCCAAAACCTCCTTCTCGAAGCTGAAGTCATTTAACTTGGCAATATTTGATTTGTCGAGCTGCTCTGACACCTTGATAATTTCTTCCTTGTCCTTGATCTCGCCGCCAGGCAACCTGATCTTTGTGATCTGTTGGAGGAAATTGCTAATCGACTCGACGTCTCTGCCTCCATCATACTCGATGGGTTCGTCGGCACCATGGAAAAGCTTCATGGTGGGGTAACCTTGATAGGCATGCTTCTTGGCCATTTTACGACCATCCTTATCACCATTGATCTTTACAATCTTGAGCACGTCATTGTATGGTTCGAATATGTCGGCGAGCTGCTCAATCACGGGCATCAACTGTTTGCAATGACGGCACCAGTCGGCATAGAAGTCGACAAACACATACTTGCCAGAGTCGACCACTTCATCCTTGAAGTTTTTGTCATTCACCTGGCCGAGATTTGGGGAAGACGTGTACGCTAGCACACATGCCACAAAGAGCAGGATGGCAAGGAATCTCATCGTGGTTATTGATAGTACCTGGTGGCGATCAGGATTCTCTATAGGTGGGTATCACGTGCGTGCTTATATGACGGCCATTTGGCAGGCCCGAACTAGCTAACTTTAAACTACAATGAGGCGCAAGATAAGAGACGAACAATGCGTGGCATTAGTAGCTCAATTGCCCAGGCTGGGCACGGGATATAGTAATTAGAATCTTGTCTCATTAATAAATAAAATAAATAATATTGGCCACTCTCTCAAACACCAATCTAACGGAGGACGTTTCCTGGCAATGCAATAGGGTGGGCAATGAAGTAAGAGTTCTGCTTGGTGGCAGTACCAGCGAAGGCATTGTACCAGCCCAAGAAAGCAGTAATCACACCAGTTACACCACCAGCACGATGAACACCGACGTTTCCAGTGAATGCACCCGCAGCAAGAAGGATGAAGGTAAGACATAACATCAGGAACAAAGCACAGAACGCAACGGTGGATTTGAGAGTCAACAACACGAGCATAAAGGTGAAAATGGCCCAGCCGGTCAAGAAGAATCCCACGGCATTCTCAAGCATCTCCTCGTCACCCTTATAAGCAGCACCAATTCCGAAGGCAGGAATGTTGATAGCAGCAAACGACAACCAGAACGCACCGTACGAACACAAGGCAGTGGCACCAAAAGTGTTGGCAGCGAAGAACTCAGCAACACCAGCGAAAATTTGGACAAGTCCACCATAGAAGCAAGCAGCACCAACGGCAACGTTGGTGATCTTGATACCCATGGCCTGGGCATTGCACATGGACAACACAAATGTGGTGAAAGCGAAGGCAGAAAGGCCAACTGGAGCTGGGTTGATGTTGATCTTAGGGTATGGAGTAGCACCGACAGTCAAAGAACCACCGAAGGCTTGCATCAACTCGTGTCTCCAAAATCTTTGGTTTCCGATGGTGACGTACTCGTGGGAGTCGCCGTGGACGTGGATTCTGCCAACACCTTGGTCCACGGTGGTTGGGATCGACTTGTTGGAAGTGTCGGAGTGAGTGTCACGGTTTTCGACAATAGACATCTTGGGATTTCCTGGTTAGAATGATAAGGAACCAAAATATGGGGAAACGGAATACTTATAAAAGTTTGGCAAGAGTTACCAACCCCACGATTGACAAAATTAAAATAATAGAACGGCCACAATAATTAACCAGAACCAACCGCCTGCGGAGATGAGTCTGCGGGTTGCGCAATGAGCCAATGGCCAGATGCGCGCGGTGGCTCGTATAGCTGTGCGACCAGCATCCAGCAATCGCATTGTGCACAACAACAGAATCGGCCGAACTCCGAAAAGGTCTTGGAACCTTGATGGGTGGAAATGTGGAGGGGCCTGTCGTGTCATATCCTTCAATATGGCCCCTAGCCCCGCAATGTGGTTGAGACGTGTGGAGACTTGATGACCTTGCCGACACTTTCCTCCAACCCCGGTGGAGGTTGTGGGGCCATGAGGGGTCATCTCGGAGTTAGGATGCCGCCGAGTGCCCCAAACACGAAAAATTTCCCATTTGCTATGGTGCGAAATATGATCGCCCGTTTTTTTGGCGGGTTTGGACCAGAGTGGATATGCCAGGGCAAAAGGATTTTACCCCTTCCATCGGGATGGTACCACATCCAAACTTTTGTTGAGCGATCGTTGCGCGAACAAAATGCGTTTTGGCAAGTGTGGGGCAAGGTTGAAAGCCCACTGCCCGGAGTAGAAGTAAATTAGATCAGACAACCTCCGGGGCACCATGCCCCCTCTAAGGATAGGACTATACCCCATGGTCTATATGACGCCCACTGTGCCTCTTAGACGTAGTCTGAGACAAAACAACTCCACCAGCATTTCTCAAGTCAAACAACGGATAATTTTGCCAGGCGGACTTATTGCATATCCGATGCCATTCCCCAAAAGTGGGGCCGGTAAGATTTACCGTTACAGAAGGCGGTTGTGTCTAGTCCGCGCACGCTTTCCGTTTTGGGCAGACAATTAAGCACACTAGGATTTTGCGATGCTCTTTCTCTTTCAGAAAAGGTTGCGTGGTCTAGTTGGTTATGGCATCTGCTTAACACGCAGAACGTCCCCAGTTCGATCCTGGGCGGAATCATTTCTTTTTTCATTTTTTTGTGTACTACCGATGTTGAAATCAACTGATGAATTGCACCCATCATTTTCTTTTTGCATCGAAGTTACCATAGTCCAACAATATAATGTTTAGACCAATCGTAAGCAAGATTGCGTTCTCCAGACCCTTCTCGCAGTCCAGCAGACTAGCGGTAACTTCCTTAACATTCTTCACCAAGGAAACTTGCCAGCTATGCACTAACGCCAAAACCATCCTTTATGACACTTTGAAGGATGAATCACTCAATGACAAGTCAATCAAGCTAGACGTAATAGATATAATGAAACCTGAAAACTCAAAGTGGTTTGATGTTTACTGCTATGACGTTCCAGTAATCCATATCGACAGACCAAACCAAAAAAAGCCCGTCAAATTTATGCATTATTTCCATCATGACAAGTTATTGGAAGAGTTTCAAAAATAACTGTATCGGCTTCTAACCACCAAGCCTCCACCCTCAGGTGACACTCCATCTGCGAACCTTTAAGGCTCTAGTATCGTTGCTTCACGAATTTCGTTGTGCTCTATCGATAAAATCCGTATCGGCTTCACACATTCCTGAAATTAATGTATTCAGAACAACAGTTTCAACAAACTTGTCTGCGAGCAGTTCTAAGGATGTTGAATGTGTGTGCGTTTCTTCCACTCTCCAATAGTTTCTAGTAGGTGTTTCGTGGTTCCTTCGTATTAAACAACCCATTACTGGCTCATCTATTTCCCATTTTCATTCCTAATGCGTACCTTTTTATATCTGGATACCCCATTACCAAAGTCCGGACTATAGTTAAAATATCTCCTTAATGTTCAACGTGAATAATGCAAACAACTCCACCTTAGTTGACGGCTTTAGATGCTATCTTTCATCTTTTTATTCGGTGATAGGTGAAACTCAAACGCCTCGAAAAATCTTCATCATTGAAAGGTACGTATATTGTTTAAGCTCAGACTAATGTACCATAGCAATAGTGTTACAAATATCTTCTGCTCTAACAGATTCTTTACATCCCCATGCTCGACCTCGGACACGTCGGGCATGTTCGTAGTTTTAACGAGCAAAACACTAATCTTTCGTCTCCAGAACAATATAATAGCTACTTTGTAATCAATCACCGAAGCGCGTGGATGCAGAGTTGACGGCTCTATCTTCAAGCCATCTAAAAAATAATCCCCTCTTTCCAGCTAAACCTGGATGGTCCTATCTCCAGGAACAAAGTTGTACTCGGATGCGAATTCAACACCAATTGCTGATCGCCAGATAGTTCTGAAATTCTAGCCAGACTTCCCTAATTTGGTTCTTTCAAGCCATTGTGCTCTGGAGGCCAATTTTCTTTCATAGCTTAATCACAAACCTTTGTAAGTTGATTCTTGAATTAGAAAAGTTCAACAAAGCACTGTCACTCGAAATCAATACTGGAGGAGCTTCTTGCCTCGGCAGTGGATAGATTATTCAGGAAAATTTTCACACCTTGCAATTTCCTTACTAGGATGGCCTCTAGTCTTGAAGTAATTTCCTCCTTGAACGAAGCTAGCATGGTATTATTTTGAACTGGGTATTCAGAAAGTGTCTGAAGTAATTTTGAGCAGCGAAGCTTCTCTTCAGAAAGCTCTCCTGAAATAGCATCCATCCTACCTCGTAAGGCTCGAAGTGTGTAATCTCTTCGTTCCTGGTTCTTTTTCATTTTTGATAGTTTCCGCTTGAGTTCACTGACTTGGTCCTTTAGGCTCTTGATTTCGCATTGTTGGACGCTTGAGTCTGCTAGCAACATCTCGTGGCTTTTACGGACGGTATCCAACTTGACGTTCAAATCTGCGTTATCTTTGGAGAGCTGGACCACTTGGGAGGCGAGTAGATTACTTTGGTGTGGTAAGTAGCTTGTCCTGGAGTAGTCCAGGCGAAAGACCTGTCCTTTGTCCATGGCCAGGGGGGACCTGTCGGGGTATCCTTGGGAGGAGGAGGACCTCCACAGAGGTCTGCTGATACTGTTGCTTTCTATACACGCGTCCTCTGCGTCCGTAGAGTCTGCCTCTGTCTCCTGGGAGTCTTCTTTGGCAAAAGGAAGATCACTCGGATGCGTCCACGCAGCCCCGGGGGTTGTTTGTGGAATCACATTAACCAGGGTACCAGCATAAGTATCCCGAAAGAGTGCTAGGGCTGGTGGCATCCCCTTAGTGGTGCTTTGGCTCATAGCTCGAGGTCCACAACAGGTCAATTTTAGTAGACTTATTTTGATGAAAAACCAAATTCTTCCTGGCTGAGTCTTCGATTACAGTCGTACGGCTGTTATTGTCTGGCTGCTAACTTAGTGAAAAGGGTAAAGCTAGCAATGGGGCCAGATTCGTTGGGAATGGTATCAAGCTGGCCAGCAAATTGTTGCAAAAGATTTCCCGCACATCAGAAAAACGTTCGCTGGGGAATTAGCGAGCGGGTCGCTTCCGTCTTTCTGTTCTTTAGCGACTACTAGCTACCACCATTGAACCCACGCAGTGGCGGCTCAACTCAATCTTTCCCGACAGCTTACATGCTCATGGACTCGAGCCTCGTCGAGTGCTACTTCGTTGGGTTGCTCGTGCTATTCCAGTGGCGGCCTGACTGAGGATTGCTGGTGCCTCGCCAGTCAACCCCCTAAAAGAACATCGTGGGAGAAAAAGCTACTCCATACGTCCCCTCCCATATGGCTTAAAGTCTTAAAGTGGTGATGATATCTCCGAATGGCTACAGTTCCCCGGCGATAGTGGCTTATTGCCGCCTCAGGAAGGAGCTCGGATGAATCCAGTTCTCCTCTTTGTCGGACTGCAAAATGGTTGCATGTGAACAATCGCCCCACACACTACCGCGAGGATCTTTATCAGAAACACCACCGCTGTTTCTCCACCACAAACATGTCTGAACGTCAAAAGGTCGCTGTGGTTACAGGCGCCTCCTCAGGAATTGGCTATGCCACCTCCATCGAGTTTGCCAAAAGAGGCTACAAGGTTTTTGCCGGAGCCAGAAGAGTGGAGCCAATGGAGCCATTGCGTGAACATGGAGTGATCCCCATCCAGTTGGACATCACCCTGAGTGAAAGTGTCAGAGAGGCCAAGAGATTGATCTTGCAACACAACAACGGCGAGGAGTACGTTGACTTCTTGTTCAACAATGCCGGCCAATCCTGCAGTTTTGCGGCTCTCGACGTCACCGACGAATTGATGAAGCAATGCTACGACGTCAATGTGTTGGGACAGGTCAGAATGGTTCGTGAATTCTCACCCTGGTTAATCAATTCCAAGGGGGTTATCGGCTTCACCTCGTCCATCACTGGCTATCTACCGTTCCCTTGGTCCTCCATGTACTGTTCGTCCAAGGCAGCCCTCACCCATTATGCCGCATGCTTAAGGCTCGAATTGAAGCCCTTCGATGTCAAGGTCATCAACTTCGTCACTGGTGGAGTCAAGACCAACGTTGCTGATACCAGACCTTTGCCTACCGACTCCATCTACAATGTTCCTGGTATGCAAGAGTCCTTGCTCGAGAGGGCCCAGATGTCCAACAGAAACAACCCAATGGATGCTGGAGTGTATGCGCAACAAATTGTCACGGACTTCGAGGACGCCACCCTCAGCGGACCGCTCAACTTGGCCCGTGGGACCAAGGCATGGATATTGTGCGTTATTTCCAGATGGGTACCTCACTACCTTATAGAGGCAGCCTTAATCAGGAAGTTCAAGATGATGAATGTTTTTGTTGCACTCAAAGAGAAGTTTTCCAAAGCGAAGTTGAGCTAATGGTTGAGAGGCTAGACTCAGGAGAACTATGCCATTTTTAGTTCAAATAACGTGAAGCTTATTTATCTCACCGATGAGTGCAATACCGGGGCAAAAGAGAGGAGGTGATTTATAACCTGGTGTAATTCCAGGACTTAAATTTCCTACGTCTGTGGCAGGCCCAAATATATGACTAAATAAAAGATCTTGTTTATCATCCCAAAATGCAAGCATTTCATCTAGTAAGATTTCACTTGGGTGGTGCCAGGGTGCATGTTAGTTGCTTGTAGTTCATGCCTCTATCGTAGGGATTGTGTAGTAGCTATGGTATACAGATGGTATTAAATATGCGGTTTTGATGCTGAGGAATTCACCGATAGGATAATTGGAATTTATATCAGGTCGAAGAATTGTCATGCTGGTATACCATCCAAGGTGCATTCTCCGTGGGTCTAACTCATTATTGGATAATTTCCCAGTCTGTGAAATGCAATACCCAACACGTCCGCAAGCTTCCGCTTCTTGCACCCAAAAACACACGAAAGCTCTCGCTTCCAAACTATGTACTTTTGACTACTCCAACCAGACTAGTTTGTCCACGGTCCATGCTTCAAATCTCTGGGGTTTCACTCCTAGCTTCCAATCAACATAGAAACGCATTTTCCTGCTTACTTCATCCTGCTCTGGAAACCTGTATTCGCAACCATATTCTATGTGAATGAATAACACACTCACAAAATAATTCAAAAAATTCCAAAATCATGCTAAATTTCAATAGCACTAGCCCTTATAACAACACCCAAGGAATCAGCTCCAACCACATCTGCTGTTCAAAGCACCCACTTACATCGTACCTCTCGTCCATCCGTACTCCACTTCTGGTGTTCATCTTGTGACTTTCAGTGCTCGCGCCAGCCATTCGCACTCTCAGCGATGTTAAAATGTGGGGCTCAATAGTGATACCAACCATGCCTGAGCCTTTCTTATGGTACCGTGACAAGCATTCGCTCAAGATCGGCGAGGTCAACAGATACACGGTGCGATATACGCGACTCGACTCGTCCAAGAACGAAATCTACCTTCGCTTGAAGAACATCGAAAAGACCTCCATCAGAGCCATCCATTTGCTCAATGGACCCTTCATCCTCTACTGCCATGTCGTACCATACCGCTACGACTACCATGCCAAGTTCGACCCAGAAGACATTGCTGTCAACAAGGAGGTGGTGTTTGAGAACCAAATCAAGCCTGGGCAGACTTTCAATGTCCGGCTCCGCATGAACCGGAACTCGTACGTGGAGTCTGTCGACAGCCACGACGTGTTTCAGTGGGAGATTGATGTGGTGTCCCAGATTGTGATCACCAGAAATACCTCCATCTTGTACGACTTGATGATCGGCGACGACTTCTCCCAGATGAAAAAGTTGAACCACGGGTCCATCCAGACCTCGTTCTCGTCCATCGGCAACATCATTGGCAACAACACCAGCGCTGGCGCTGACGTCCAGCTCGGGAGGAGCTTGAACCCCCAGTTGGAGGTGGTGAAGAAGGACACCAAGCAGATCTGGAACACGGCACCACCAGACGCTTCCAAGCCGGTGCATCTCGTCATCATCACCCATGGAGTTTTCTCCAACTTGACTGCCGATATGCTCTACATCAAGGACACGTTGGAACGGGTGCTGAAGGACAACATCTTGATCAGAGGATACAGAAACAACGCAGGGCGTACCGAGAAGGGAGTCAAGAGGTTGGGAACGGCGTTGGGCGACTATTTGGCGGCGTTGATCGACCAGCTTCTCCAATCGGGCATGACCATCGACAAGATCTCGTTTGTAGGACACTCGTTGGGAGGCATTGTGCAGTTGTACGCTATCAAGTACTTACTCATCACCAAAGGGTCCGACTACTTCCAGAATTTGAACATCCAGCCCTACAACTTGGTGCTCATGGCCAGTCCGCTTTTGGGGATTTTGAGCGAGATGAGCTTCTTGATCTCGTGGTTTTTGGACTTGGGCACCCTCGGCAAGACCGGTAGGGACTTGACGTTGTCCAAGCCCATGCCAAACTTGAAGGACTTGAAGAAAAACCACAACCATAACCACCAGTACGGCGACGAGGCCGCCATCAAGAAATCCAGTGCCTTCAAGCCGGTGTTGGAGGTGTTACCTGACGACCCGTTGCAGTCGTTCTTGCAACAGTTCAAGCACTTGACGTTGTATGCCAACGCCATCAACGACGGCATTGCGCCATTGAGGACAACTTCGTTGTTGTACCTCGACTGGAAGGCCTTGGGCGACGTGACGGAGTTGAGGAAGGGCAAACAAGCTAAGGTGGACCGTCAGGGAGATGTGATAGACAAGCTGTCTAGCGAAACCAGACGCGGTGGTCTGGCTCCCCTGCAGCTGAGTACGATAGGCGAAGAGGACCACCACCTGATTCAAAGTAATACCACGAGCGATAGCGTGGGCGAGGTCCCTGATGACGAGCCTGAGGACGATGGTCTGGATGACGACATCAAAGAAAGCCAGCCAGTTGCGAAAAAAAGTGCTTTAGAAAAGTACATGGAGTTGCTCCACTTGAACTTCAATCCAATGGGACCAGTATCGTCCTCCAAGCACCCCAAGCAGAAGCTTTCTCGAAAAGAAAAGAAGTTCATGAAGTTCAACGCCAAGGGCTCTGACTACTATGAGTTTGTTCGGAACAATAAGAAGGAGGTTGAGGACGAAGAAGACGGGCAACACGAGGACGATACGCTCAACGACCTGGATGAGGAGGATGAGGGCCACGAGGACCGTCCCACCTTCAAAATCCCACCCAAAGCTTCAGCAGTGGAATCGGCCATCAACACAGTGTTGTGTCCCATTCCTTCCATGGAGTACGTGTTTGATCCTGAACACAGGGATACCGTAATTTTCCACGACAAATACTACCACTTCAAGGATCTTCCCAAGGAAGAGGACAGGAAGTCCTCACAAATCAAGTCGTTTTTCTTCAACTACAGCGACTGGAAGTTGAAGAAGCAGGTCAAGATCGCCCGCAAGTACCACACCAGCAAGCTCAACTGGCGGAAGGTGTTGGTCAACCTCCCCCCAGATGCTCATAACAACATCGTGGTTCGTCGGAGATTTGCTAATGGATACGGCTGGGGCGTGGTGGATCACTTATGTGAGAACTTATTTAATGGAGGAGAATCCGAAGATGACAATGGCCAGGATATGAAGGCTAAAATGTGAAAATATAACATACGCCGTCAGCGAAACTTGGGTCAAATCAGGCTGTTGCAGAATGGTGATATCTTCAGGAAAGTTAGATATTAGTCTTAGATGGAACCATGCTACGATCCACCGTACAAATTAGGTACCTGCAAGAGCTTCCCATTTAATAGGGACGTACAATATTTATTGAGGCACGAATGAGTTTCGTTTAACTCCAAACGAGATTATTTTCATTCAGTTGCTTCTTGTTTCCACTTTGGAACAGATCAATGCTACCATCGTGGTAAAAGTATAGTCAGAGATTCCACAGAGCAGTACAGAATCACCTGGCCACTATTTAATACAAGTATCTAATGAATGCTCATACTGCATTGCCAGAACGGTTCTCGAAATTCCTTATGTTGTAATCGGGCCAAATAACATGTAGCAATTTCCCAGGAGGGCGATGACGTTATAGCCATTATGGATAAAAGCTCCTTCCTTTCTCCTCACTGAATATTACCTGTCACCTTTATACGAATTTATTGTCAGAAACAGTTACATGTAACAAAAACAAAGATAAGAATATTAAACAAAGGCTAGCCAATAGAAGAGAGTTTGGAGGTTTCCTATGCCTAAAAGGAGGAACTGATCATAACTATGCTATTTGAGATATGGAATTGCATAATAATTACTGGTGCCACTTGCTGCTTGCATAGTGCATACTAGGTCCCAGTGTCAAATTGAGGCAGAAGGGTGTGACTGGTGCTCTACATGTTTATCACCAAAGGACTCCAGTGGACGCATTTGCAAAGTCAATTCCACGGAACAATTGTGATTGTGGTCTATTGACATCATTCTGACAATCTTACACGGAGTGATGATAAACTACGGAAAATTCAATTGTGTCCTGGAAAATGCCAATTAGCTGTAGAATTTTCCAACAAGCGACGCTGGGGCTGGCAGTCGCCAGGGTTAATTTCTGAATTATAGCAATTTTACCGACGAAATCACACACCGGTCAGGGTAATCTACAGGGTGTACCAGCTGATTGAGTCAGTTCTATTACTCCCCAGCGGCCAGATATTCTAAGAGTGGCCACCATGCTACCACCAGCCTAATCTACCAGTCGATTACCACTAATTTTATTATAGCTACAAACATAGCTATAACTCCTTCTATTTTATTTACTCCAGCTGAGCTCCAGCTGACTTCCACCTATCCACTACCCATCTCCCAATCCGGCTTATCGCATCCCATCGCACTACTAGTCTTATCTCGGTGCGCCGCACGTGGACGCTTATCTCAGTTGATCTAACCCTGTCCTCAGCCTCCAAACGTGTCTCGCCCCTGCCATGGTCAGCACACCCTAGCGTGGCATCCCCATGGGGAGCACCCGATCCAGTCAGTCACCCTTTGCTCCGCTCAACACCGCTTCCCTGGTGCATTTTCGCGCCACACAAGTCCCAGTTTCAGAGATAAGAAACCGGCTATATAAAATCGCACTCGCTCGCTGTGCGCGTTTTGCAACATTCAGAGCCTCCTCCTCCCTAGAATGAACCCTCCCTGCTATGTGACCCCCCATCCCTCCAGCATTCGTGGCCCCGAAAAGATCTCGTTCGTGGTGATCGGCGCTGGCCTCATCGGTCCCCGCCACGCCGCACACGTCTTGGACCGTCCCGACTGCGAGTTGTTTGCCATTGTAGACCATTCCGCCAAAGGTCCTCTGGTGGCACAACAACTCAACACAATGCTCTTCCAGAACTTGGACGACCTCTTTGCCCACTGCGACGCCAACCTCTTGAACTACCCAGCTGCCGCCATCGTGGCCACCCCCAACCACACCCATGTACGCATGGGCATGCAATTGGCGGCTCGCGGCATCCACATGTTGATGGAAAAGCCATTGGCCCCGTCGCCCTCGGAGTGCAAGTCACTCATCGCCTACTGTCACGCCAAAAACGTCACTCTTCTTGTGGGACACCACCGCCGCTTCAATCCCTACATCATCGCCACCAAAGACCACTTGTACAAGTTGGGCCAATTGGTGGCCATCCAGGGCACCTGGACCTTGTGCAAGCCCCCAGCGTACTTCTTGGAAAAGCCCTGGCGCTCCTCCACCGCCCTTGGCGGCGGCACCCTCCTTATCAACTTGATCCACGACTTGGATCTCCTCCAGTACCTCTTGGGTCCCATCGAAAAGGTGTATGCCGAGCTCTTAACCAAACAGAGAACCGACTCCGGCCACCACGACTTGGTGGATGAAGGGGCGGCATTGACCCTCCGCTTCGAAAATGGGTGTTGTGGCACCTTTATCTGCTCCGACAACGTCACCTCCCCTTTTCTGTTTGAGGCAGGCACTGGTGAAAACCCCACCGTCCCTTTCAACGATTCCATAGCTGGATTCTACAGAATTTTTGGAAGCCACGGCACCCTCTCGGTACCAGACCTCAAATTATACCACCAAGAGTCGTCTTCGTACAACGACAACAACAGCATGATGAGTAACGCATCAGGCGAGCGGTCTTGGTTAAAGCCGTTGGTTTGTGACCAAATTAAAATGAGACACGAATTACACCAAGAGTCTAGCCTTCAATTACCTTCTCCATCTCCATCTCCGAACGTAAAGGATTCGCCTATTCACAGGATGAACGATTTTAAGAAGCCCCAGCCATTTGCTTTGCAATTGGAGCACTTTGTCAACTTGATAACTGGGGCCGAAACAGCAGTAAAATGTTCGGGGGATGATGCTTTGAGAGCATTATTATGTATTGAGGCGGTTGTTAAATCAATCGAAACTGGTTTACCTCAATACGTGGACAAAATAGATCAAATCGACCTTGATTTCGATTTGATGAATCAGTTTGACGTTTGAATATACCTATATATGTTCGGAATTAACTTAATAAATCAGTTTTAGTTTAGTTAGCTTACATGATTGAAAATCGAATGAATTACTTTTTTAATAAATAACTAATATGTATATGATGGATGCATTACAGCATATATAAAAAAATCACTAGTTCTCTTGGAAGACTTCAGCCAAGAAAGCTTCTTCTTCAGTAGTGTGCATGGACTTGGAACCAGCAGCAACAGAGGCAGATGGGTCACGACCGGCATAACGCAAAGTCAAGCCAGACTTGTCAGTTTGCTCAATAGTGACAGCAAGACGAGGGGCAACAAAAGAGTAAGCACCCATGTTCAATGGTTCTTCTTGACACCAGACCAAATCTTCAACGGCAGGGTAGCTGTTAATAGCATCACGCAATTGAGCGTATGGGAAAGGATGCAATTGTTCAACCTTGATGAAGGCAGTGTGCTTGTCTTCGATAGAAGCACGCTTCTTGTGCAAGGCAGCGTAAACTTGACCGGTACAGAGAACAATACGCTTGATCTCCTCCTTTGGAGCAATAGACTTACCCAATTCAATGTCTTCAATGATCCATTGGAAGTGAGAATCGTTAATGAATTCTTCTAATGGAGATCTGGCCAATGGGTGACGCAACAAGGACTTGGAGAAGAAAAGAACCAAAGGCTTTCTGAATTGTCTATGCATTTGACGACGTAACAAGTGGAACAAGTTGGATGGGGTGGTTGGGTAAGCAACTTGCATGTTACAGTCTTGATGTTGACGTTCTAACTTTTCTGGGGCAGGGAAGAAACGTTGGTCTTCGTTACACATTTGCAAGTATCTTTCAATTCTACCGGAAGAGTGTTCTGGACCTTGGCCATCGTAACCGTGAGGTAAGGACAAGACAATACCGGAACGTTGCTTCCACTTGGATTCGGCAGCAGCAATGAATTGATCAATGATAACTTGGGCAGTGTTAGCGAAATCACCGAATTGAGCTTCCCATTGAACCAAAGCATCTGGAGAGGTCAAGGAGTAACCGTATTCGAAACCCATGACACCGTACTCGGACAAGGAGGAGTTAGAAATGCTGAAAGCACCTTGGTCTTCAGACAAGTGGTTCAATGGAGTCCAGGTCTTTTCAGAAGATTGGTCGTGCAAGACGGCGTGACGTTGAGAGAAAGTACCTCTTTCAACATCTTGACCGGAAACTCTGACGTGGTAACCTTCCAAAGCCAAAGAACCAAAAGCCAAGGCTTCACCAGTAGCCCAGTCAATGTCCTTACCGGTTTCAACAGACTTCTTTCTGGTGTTCAAAATACGCTTCAAGTTTCTGTGGATTTCGAAACCTTCTGGAGCTTCAGAGATAGCGTTTCCGATCTTCTTCAAGGTGTCTTCTTCAACAGCGGTTGGCAAGTGAGGCAAGACTTCGGTGGCCAATTCCTTTGGAGACTTGAAGTCTTCCCATGGGGTACTCAACCATTCTCTGGAAGTTGGCTCGTACTCCTTAGACTTGCTGAAAGACTCTTCTAAGAGATTCCAGACCCACTTCTTGTGCTCGTTGACGTCCTCGGTGGTGAAAGAACCTTCTTCGATCAATTGGGTGGTGTAGTAGTCAAGAACGGACTTCTTTTCAGCGATCTTTTGGTACATCAATGGTTGGGTGAAAGATGGTTGATCGGTTTCGTTGTGACCGTGCTTACGGTAACCAACAACGTCAATGATGACATCAGAGTGGAAAGTGGCTCTCCATTCAGCAGCCAAGTTGAAGACAAAGATACAGGCCTCGATATCGTCGGCATTCACGTGGAAGATAGGAGCGTTGATAGCCTTGGCAATGTCGGATGGGTATAAGGTGGATCTGGCGAATCTTGGGTCAGTGGTGAAACCAATCTGGTTGTTGACAATGATGTGGATACAACCACCAGTGGAGTAGGCTGGCAAGTTGGCGAAACCCATGGTCTCGTAAACCACACCTTGGGCGGAGAAAGCGGCATCACCGTGCAACAAGACAGGCATGGCCTTCTTGTACTCACCAATGTCGTTCTTGTACTGCATGATGGCTCTGGTCTTACCCAAAACGACACCGTCTTCAGCTTCCAAGTGGGATGGGTTGGCCACAAGCGACAAGTTGACGTGCTTACCGGAGGTGGTTGGTCTGGCGTAGTTCATACCCAAGTGGTACTTGACATCACCAGAACCTTCGTCGAATTCCTTGGAACCAGTGAATTCAGAGAAGATAGACTCATTGGGCTTACGCACAACGTTGGACAACATGTTCAATCTACCTCTGTGGGGCATACCGATGACGACGTCCTCGACACCATACTCGACTGAGGTGTCGATCAAGGCCTTCAAACCGGGGACGATAGCCTCGGCACCTTCCAAACCGAATCTCTTGTCGTTAGGGAACTTGGTGGCCAAGAACGATTCGAAGGAACAGGCCCAGATCAAACGGTCCAAGATCTGTCTCTTTTGGTCGGCGGAGTACTTGAAGGGGGTTGGGATTTCGATTCTTTCTCTCAACCAGTCACATTGCTCCTTGGAGGGGATGTGGATGTATTCCACACCGTAGGATTGGCAGTACAACTTTTCACAGTTGGCGATGATCTCCTTCAACGACAACGACTTCTTGCCGGCCTCGGCGAATCTGGGCAAGATTCCTGGGCCCAAGGTGATCTGTTTTTCCAAGTCTGCTTCCGAGAAGCCGTAGTAGTCCAAGGTCAATTCCTTGGGGATGTCGGAGTTCTCACCGTAGGAGATGCCCAAGGGGTCAATCTTGGCCTTTTGGTGGCCTCTGACCTGGTAGGCACGCACCAACAACTGGACCTTCAAGTGAGTGACCACGTCCTCGCTCATGGGCAGCGAGCCAGGCACGAAACCGGCGGCTCCGCCAGCAGGAGTGGGGATGATGGTGGGAGGAGCCGAGTAGGCCTGCGAGGTAGGCACATGGTCGGACTCGATGTTCTTGAAGTATGCCTGCCACGAGACGTGCACACTGGTGGGGTCTTGTCTCCAGGCATCGTACATTTCGTCGATGTAGTTGGAGTTGTTGCCTTGCAAGAAGGAGTCGGTGGCGCTGGCGAACCAACGCTTGGTGAAAGGACCACCAACCACCGGTCTGAGTTGTGCCTTCAACACCTGGGCGCGTGGGACGGCGCTTCTGAAAGCTCTAAGCATGATGATCTGATTGTTTGATTGATTATATCTTCATCAACTGGAAGAATATGAGAGGTCAATTGGATTTTTTCCACGGTCGAAAATGGGGATCGTTGGCGAGGGAAGAGGTGGGGAGGGTGGTGGTAAGTACAGGACGGTGCGCACTACGGTTGCGGGGGGCAGAAGGTGGATCCGACGGGGCCCGGGGCGGTAGGCCAGGGGTGCCGTGGAGGCAGGAACGGCTGGGACGGCTGGTGAAGGCTGGGCCAATAGGACACGCCAGCGGGACAACTCCGTGGCAGTTATTCGCGCACATCCCGGAGAAAATGATTGGTTGGCAGTCCCGGAGCGAGCACCCGGGAACTCCGAAGATCTGGCAAAAGGAGTTGGATGGGGCAGGGTCCACGCTGGACAGCTAGAGCACGGGCAGGCAAGCGACTTGGTACTGGCTGGTTAAGTAGGGAGGCTACGCCATTGGTATCTACGGATCTGAATGTTGGAGAAATGGCTAATTGCAGGGGACTGCCTGCAGTCCCCCATCACAGGTGCATCCGAGCCAACATTCTGCAGCGTGCGTCCGCATCTCAATAGCTGTTAATGATTCGTCAGCCCAAGAAAACACCCACCAACACCCCATCAACGGTTGTAGACAATTCACTAAAAAGCGTTGGCCGCGGCTTGTGGGACCCCGGGCTCTCGGGAATGGCATTCACAGCCGACGGTGGTATGCAGTATGCTGCTTTTGGCAGCCAGGGCACAGGGCAATTTTTGAGTCAGCTCTGTTGAGTCATCCGAGGCATGACTGAGTTTGAGAATCATGCAAATGGCTTCGTATCGAGTAGCAGTACCTGTATTGATGATTCTTGCGAAAAGTCTACATTATTGATTGTGGAACTAAAAATTAATAAAATGTTTATGCAATACCGAAATGATTTGAAGATCTTAGAATGCGTACGCTATCATAGCAACCATAGCAATCAAGAAATTAGAAGTATGAGCTCTCGATGCCCATCCCTCGTAGCTAGCTACGGAAGGATAGAAGGCACTTTGCAGCGAGGAAGACCGTGAAACACTTGGCACATCGGTCCTGTCACCTATGACCTGAGTAGTGACAGTGTTGCCAGTATTTTCTGAAGTAGTAAGGTGAGGTACGTCTGTCACCAATGGAGTATTCTGGTTAGATGGACTAGAAACAGTGTCTGATCCGTGGCCTGATGAGGCATTGTTGGTGTTGGATGCACTTGAAGCACCACTTTGTGCACTAGATCTTGTTGAGGTGATATCAACATAGGATGGTTCTTGAGTACTGGATAAAGACCCTGTAGCATATGAAGATGCAGACAGAATAGATGATCCCGAAATAATACTTGAAGCTTCACTAGTAGTGGAAGCTGCAACCGAAGATGATCTGGAAGATCCAGAAGGAGAAATCAAAGAAGAAATTGGAATGCCCGATGAAGATAAAGTGGATGGTGCAATAATAGACAGAGCTATGGTGCTTGAATTCCAGGGAAGTCTTCTAGAACTGCTGGAGGGGTCAAATGAATAGGAACTTACAACAGCCGAAGACCCAAGAACACTGGAAGACGACACACTAGAGACCACAGGGGTCTCAACAATCAGAGTATTGGTTCCATCAGTACCGGTTCTGGACACGGAAGTGGTTAACGATCCAGTCCATCCGCTGGAAACGGTCGTCTCCGAAACGGGAGTTTCAACGATCACAATGTTGGTTCCGTTTCCTGGTCTAGTCACAGTAGTAGTGAA